GTTGGGCCTCTTGAATGACAAATATCTTTAATTACTCCTCGAAATATCTCTACCATTGTCTCTTTAGCTATTGCTTCTGCCCCATTCAGTCTCTCACCTCTTCTTCTGGATCACCAATTACTTGTATGTTATACTTCCTCACTGTTTTCTTCCATATCTCTTAACTATTATTTCACATTTTCCATGTTTTATCTCTATTCTACATTATATATAACTTTTTAAACTTTACCGAGTGTTTTAACTTATCAAGTCTCTCTTTAGCTGTATCTAGTCTGTTGTGAAGCCCATCGATTGAGTTTTAAATTTCAATTATTATAGTTTTTACTTTTAGAATTTGTTTTATTTAAATTTGCGTCTCTTTTAAAAAATAATTTCCAGATCCCTTTCTTATTTCCAAGTTTTAAAAAAATTTCTTTCATAATTGTGGAAATAACTATATATTTTGTTTCTAAGTATTTTAATATCTAAAATCTTTGCTGAGTAGTTTCTGCTGTCAGATGTTTCTTCTGGTTTTGCTTTTGGTATTTTGCTTCTTTGTATTCTTAATGATTTTTGAGTGGGATATCTCATTTTTCTTTCAAAATGATGTATTGGAATTCTTTGAAGTTTACTGTGCAGGTATGTTCTACACAGGATTTGTATGTATTTCTGCCCAGCTTCTAGGAGGTCAAAACAGTCTGAGCACACTCTAAGCAAATTCTCAGTTTGAGGTCAGTGGACCACCCAGTTAATGCTAATTTGTGTTGCAAATCTGTGTGAGGACCAGTTTGGAGTTATAGTTTTTTAAGGATCTTTTTTCCAGTATTTCTCTGCAAGGAGTCAAAATATCTTTTTTCCACTTCCCTGGGAATTGGGTTCTGTAGTATGCTTATATATGGTACACCATTCCACTCTAGAAGTTATAAAACAAAAACAACATATTCTCCAAGTTGGCCAAATATCCTCAGGGCAAAAGTAATTTTATTGGTTAGTTCATTGTTTCTTTTTTTCCCTAGGTTTTGACCTGATAAATCCTATTTATTATGCCTTTCTTTGATGCTTTTAGGAAACACATTCTTTATATTTTTTTCAAACATTTTATATTTTTTAAGTAGGCATGTCAGTCTGAATACCTAAGTGGCCATCTTTTTGGAATGATTTTGTTTCTCTATGCCATTATTTTGTAGTATATGTCTTCCTGGAACATGTGAAACAGAATCACCTAGCGATGTTTATTAAAATTTCAGATTCTACTATTTAACTTCAGGCTTACTGAAATAGAATCTCTAGGATAGGTCTCTGGTATCTGAAATTTTGTGAGATTCTGTAGGTGATCTTAATATATACAGAAGTTTACTTTTATTTGCACTTTTAAGTCTAATATCTGGTACTTTTGTAGTAGACTGAGATCTAAACTTATAATTTTTTATACTTGTCCTAGCAATGTATGGGTTCTTTTGGTTTGTTTGGTTGTTTTGGTGGCTGGTGGGTACAGGGATCCAAACCCTTGACTCACACTACATGTTGAAGGAACCATTATATTCATTTCTATTTGACATGCTAACCTTTATCATATAGTTAGAGAGATGGGGGGTGGAGAGAGAGTGTGTGTGTAGATCTTTTTTTGGCCTTTCTATTTTGGCATTTTGGCTTTTCTATTTTGAGCTGCCTATTTTTTGAGCAATACCATACTGTTTTAATTATTATAGTTTTATGATGTGTTTTACTATGTGGTGCTACAAAGCCTTCTTTCTTTTTATTTTATTTTCTCCTTCAATGCAAACATTTAAAACATTACTTTAGTGGCTTTATCATTTCTTGCTTTAATACTCTTTCATGATCTTGTACAAGTAAATAGTTTTTTCCACAGTTTTGAAAAGATGTTTTTTGGTATTATCTCCTACTATATTTTTTCATATGGACTTAGGAAGCCTCTTAGACTGAGGTAATTAATGTTGTTTTACCTGACACTTTGCCCCAACCAATTTTGTGTTTTAATTTTAGAGCTTAGCATGGTCATTTTTCCTCTACATATTTTTTCTGCCCATTTTTCCAAGTTGAAATCCAGGTATTCACTTTCTGTATAGAACCCTTACTAATACTCCTTAACTACTTCTTAACTTTAATAGCAGTTATTGACCATACCACTCATTTTTACCAGGTTAGTCCTACAGAATTAGTCTGTGAAAGCTGAAAGCTACCTAAGGAGAGTTAGTTGTCTATGTATATCATTTTACAAATGAGAAAACAGCCATTGAGTATGGGAATGACTTGTCCATGGTCTCCTAATGATTCAACTGCTGAAGTAAACTCAGGATATATTTCTTGTATTTTAGAGCTTTTCCCATTATGATTGTCTGCTTTATCATTATTCCATTGTATTTTAATTTTATTTTCATTTATTTGTGCCTAGTTTTTTTAAAAAACTAGATTGGAAGTTCCTTAAAGGCAGCACCCATGTTTACACAATGTTTTGTACAATTCATCGACCTAATATTGTGCTTTATGTTTATTAGGCACCTAATCAATATAATAGATGTTGGCAAAAACAATTGTTCTGTTAACCAAATGTCTAATTGGGGCTAGCTCCTTGTGGGTGACACTATTATAACTGTATAGAAAGTGGCATCTAGTGGTTGCTGTGTGTATTACAATTGCCTGTTTTTATCTTTTGGTCTTCTTTTTAACTCATAAGTACCAGATTCATTCTCACAACCTTAGGTGGAGTAAATAGAATATAACTTAAATTTTTTAATTGAATTCAAACAAATTAATCTATAATTCCCAAATGTTTTAAGTAGGATCTCTCTAAGATATAACTCCATGTTAATTAATAAAGAAGTGTAAAATGATGAAATTACTATTTTAAGAAAAATATTGGATAAAGTTACTTGGAACATGACACACAAGAGTATTTAAGGTTTTGTTTGTTTATAAATCATATTAGGAGTTTGGGGCTATTGTTTGATACTGAGAAGTCAAAAATACAATTATAAAGAAAGGTCACATGGTATCATGTCCATATTAATGAAATCCTGTTAGGCTATTGTTTTGCATTATTCTCAGGAGCTTATTTGTATTCAAAAGAGGAAGTTCTCTCAATAAAAGCTGAAGATGGAAAGTTACAACATCTTCTACTTACAACAACAAAAATCCATGCACTTACATTTACAAATAAAGTACAGACATACATTCCAAAGTCAAATGTTAATTATTCTTGTATTAATAGCCATTTTGGATTATTGCTATCCTTTACTCCTCCATTAATGTATGTAAGTGAGTGTTGACAACATGCAATATCTAATTCAGTAACTATGACCAATGACTGATCTTATCTTGTGAACTTGTGCATCAGTATCTTCTTGTGAACCGGTATCTTCTAAATTTTTTAAGTTCGTAGTTTGGAATCTAGAATTTATGTTTGCACAAAACAATGCTATATATTTTAATTTAAACTCTGTTTTGGTACATTGTAATGCAATTTTTTTGTATATGGGTTCATCCTTACAATTAGACAGCAATTATGTACTATCTTTGTATGTCTACCTGCACCTACCATAACATAGTGGCTGGCACATAACAAGTGATCAGTAAGTTTTTGTTGAATTAGTTATGTATGTTGGAGGGAGCTGTGTCTTATTCATCTTTATATTTCCAGTGCTTAACAAGTTTTCTGGCTTCCAATAGTACTCAATTCATGTTTGATGAATGAGTGACTAATCTGTAATGTAGTTAACGTTTAATACTAAAGTCAGAGTGTGTAACCTAATCACCTATGTGTAATAAATAATGGCTGCATAACAGATTTACAATTTGAAGTGTCAGGAGCACATCTTTTACTAGAACAACCTCTTGTAGTGTGAGTGAGAGATTCCTCCAATATCAAGCCATTGTTGTTTGCTCTTATAATCAGGGAAAGATGTTTCAGCATGAGAGTGGCTTTAGTTGCAGCTGTTTTGGTTAGGAGTTCTGACTAGAAGAATGAGGTCAGTACTTTCATTAAAGATTGGGGAAGGTATTCTAGTATTGGCTAGAGTAAAGGAAAGCATGGAATGTTGGGCAGAAGGCTAAAGTACTTTTTAAGTCATAGGCTCTAAAGAGTGAGTGAGCATTAATGAACATTATTTGGTATTTATATCACGAATTGTTTCAGTAAGACAGTCTGATATCTATTTGAGGAAAAGCATGCCACCTTTTTGTACATAAATACTGAGCTGTCTACATATGATAAACTAATTACTATTCATTTTTCTAAGCAGTTCAGCTTTATGCCAGAAGAAAGGATAGTTCTGGGTGGTAGAAGTAATTTACTGTCTTCTTGTCCTCTATAGGTTTTAGAGGATGATATATATAAATTTTTGGCTTCAGGATCTCAATTCCTAATATGAATGAATGAACTTGTTAATAGTTGCTATTTTGAACATCTAAGCTGTGGGAGCAGCATTTGTGGTAAAGCTTGGAGCTGTTGGAGACTGAGCTACTATTAGTGATAAGGAGTGGGGGCAAAGAAAAGAAAGGTAGTAAAAGATAGTGTTATGCATTTTATGCTGAATGATTGCTCATGAATGCATAGAAGCAAGTGACTTAAGTGGTAGGCATCCTTGGCCCTTTGCCAAGGTCATTGCTAATAGAGATTGAGAGGTAATTTCTTACAAGTGATGTCAGGAGGAAAAAAAAAGAATTCCTAAGATCTTGGACAAGTGGCACATCATATTACAGGGAAGTCATATGGATTTATTTTTCATTTTTAATGTCTTTTTTAAAATATTTTTTTACTTTAAAATTATAAAAATTACATATGTTCATTGTGAAAAGTTCAAACAAAAATGTGTACGATTAAAGGTGAAAGCTTCCCCGGAGGTAACCATTGTTTGCAATTTGGTGTGTGTCCTTTCAAATATTTTTCTGATATTTGTTTTACAAATTTGGATTGTTGAATTTAGTTAAGCTAAATTCAACCAGTTGGAGTCTGGTTTTTAGGTTCAGATTTAATGATTTTCCCCTCTTTCTCTTTCTGATAGGCTTGCTATGGGTGTTCTCCAGGATCAAAGTGTGACTGTAGTGGTGTTAAAGGGGAAAAGGTAAGATCTGAGATGGGCCTTTGCAAACTTAGTAAAGCCAGTAAAATAGTGTTTTAAAAAATATTAAATATATTTTTTAAAAAAGGGCTTCTATGTCAGCACTTAAGTAAATAAAATGAATTCTGTTATACTGCTTATTTTAGAGAGCTTATAAGGATCTGACTGAATCTCAGTGATCAGCAAACATTTTCTGTGAAAGATCATGTAGGAAATATTTTAGACTTTGTAGGCCACATAAGGTGTCTTTCACATATTCTCTCCTTTTTTTAAACAGCCCTTTAAGAGTGACCAAAAAAATGTCTCAGCTCTTGGACCATACAAAATAAGGCTCTGACTGCATTTGGCCTGAGAGATATAATTGACCAAACCCTGGTCAATCTGGTTGAAGTCACTGAATTAACAGGCAAAAAGATGGAGGAAACACTTCAGAAGGAAACTAAACATTTTTTCAGCTACTAATCTGTGCTGGATACCATGCTAGATGATTTCATATATTTTTATCTAGTCAGTGTGGTTTAATGATAGGTGAATCTCTATTTTTATCTTACTTTTCCCACAGCAGCGCCTCCTATTATATAGATATGATGATTACAAAGTAAGTATTGGTGAGGATTAAATAGCATAAACCTAGCCATTATGAGCCAGTAACTGACATCGAAATTAGAAAATTAAAAAGGGATAGTGAATTGTAGAGAGTTGTACTAGGAGACAGGGGATCCTACCCCAGTCTCCACTCTTTGGGGCTCAAAAAATATTTTTGAATTACTAATTATGTATAAAAACTTTGGGACAATATCTCTAGAGTGTATTCTACTTAGGATCCATTAGCATATTAAACATGTTTAAAAGTCCTGGAGCAAAGAAACCGATTTGTTTGTTTTGCAGTGCTACATTTCTAAGCCACATTTGACTTTGTAACTAACTTTCACCATAACAGAACACCTATTAATAATTGAGTAATGTTCTACAGAGCACTTATTTGAGTAACATTCCTTTGAGGGGAGTAGTTTTGCAGTAAGGATGCTTTCTTTAGTGATAAAAACAAGAGGGATTAATTTCAGATAATAGTGCAGTGACATTTATCAGATTAACTTTCCTTGAAATAAGAAATAAACATTCTGGACAAAATATAGCAGCTATTTGATAGCCCAGGAATGTGACCAAAGGAAGAAAGTGGAGAGGATTCTACCCTTAAAAGAAAGGAAGTACACTGGGTATATGGTTTTCCTTCTAAGTATCCTCCTCAGTCTGTATGGCAAAAAATGGCTAGAACCCAGATAAAAAGCCACAGTCTTACTGGCTAGAGAAGGCAGAGGACAGAGTTGAGGATGTCAGAATGCCTGAGGGTGTATACTGGAATGGAGGGAGACACAGAGGAGAGAGCACAAAAATCTACTTGGAGACTCCACCCAAACATATATAGGGGAGGATTCTTACAACCCAGAAAATAGGAACACCTAGAAGGCAACAATAACTGAGCATAGATTAAACTGATGTCTATTGAAAGGAAAACAGAATTTTAAATTTGGGTTCAGATGAAATAACTATTTCTTGAAACAAAATTTTAATACTCTTCAGAGGAATATGAGAGAATCCAGAATCTCTACATAATACCTACAATCTCCAGTGTGCAATTAAAACTTATCAGGTAAAAAGTGACCCATAGTCAAGAAAAAGACCAATCAATGAAAATGAACTCTGAAATAATACAGATATTCGAATTTGTAGACAGAGATTTAAAGCAGATTTAAAGGAAAATATACTCATAATGAGTAAACAGATAAGGAATCACAACAGAGCACTGGAAACTACATTAAAAAGAAGAAAATCTAGACTAGAAAAGCAAACTATAAGAAAAAACAATTCAGTAGATGGGCTTAAAGCAGAATGGAGATGACAGAAGAAAGGGTTAGTGAACTTAAAGGTGAAATAGAAGAAATGATCCACTCTGAAGAACTTAGACAAAAAAATGGAAAAAAAAATGAGTAGGGCCTCAGTGAGCTATGTGGCAACACCAAATGGTCTAACATAAATGTAAATGGAGTCCCATAAGGACAGCAGAAAAAGAAAAGGGAGGAGCAAAAGGAATAATAATTGATGGAGCAATAACAATGGCCAGAATTCCCATACTTGGTGAAAAATACAAATTTACAGATATAAGAAATTCAGCAAATCTCAAGCAGGATAAAAGCAATGAAAACTACACCTAGGCCCATCATAATGAAAGTCCTGAAAACAGAGATTAAAAGAAAATTTTGAAAGAAGCTAGAGAAAAAAATCACATTACTTACAGTGGAACAATGGCATGAATGATGATGGACTTCTCGTCAGAAAGATTGGATAATGTACAACAATAGTAAAACATTATTAGAGAGTTGAAAAAAAATCTGCAAACACATTATTATATACAGTGACAATATACTTCAAAAATAAAGGCAAATTTAAGACATTTTCTGATAATAAAAAAATAGAAAATTCTTCACAAGCATACCTGTACTAAAAATAAATATAAAGAGCCCAGTGGCAGTGGTGGAAACAGCAGTGGAACCATGTGGCTAGATGCAGACCCTCACCCCGCCTCAGACCCAGGGGGGGAATGAGTCCCAGGCCCCGCCCCATGTGGCTAGAGGCAGCCCCTCCCCACTTCTTGGACCCAGGTGGGAGCACCAGCCTATGGGGTCTGACTCACCAAGTTTGGCCTAGCAGAACTGCGTGATGCTAGGATCTCATTCTACATACACAGAGTCTGAAACAGGAACCAAGGTGGTTTAACATAACCACCACCACACCTACTGTCAAGCAAAGACAATTCACCTCCACAGTAGCAACCAGGGCCACTCCACAGCCAATCTCAGTGTAATAGAAGAAGCAAACACTCTACCAAATGACCTAGCGTCAGTGAAAAAATACTAGAAGTACAAACAATCAAGAAGAAACGATACCACCAAAAGAATACAATAATGCTACAAAGCCATACTCCACAGAACAGGGAATCCTTGAAATGTCCAAAAAAGAATTTTGAGCAATCATCTTAAGAAAACTTGAAGAAATAAAGGGAGACTCAATTAGAGAACACAATGAAACAAGAAAAAATATCCAGAATGTGAAGGAGGAAATCTACAAAGAGATTAATACCTTTAAAAAGAGTGTAGCAGAACTTCTCAAAATAAAAGACTTACTCAATGAAATAAAAAACACAACTGAGAGCTTGAGCAGCATGGTAGAGCAAGCAGAAGAAAGAATTTCAAAGTTTGAGGATGGCCTTTTTAAAATAAGTCAGGCAGACAAAAAAAAGGAAAAAAAGAATTAAAACTAATGAGGAAAATCTAAGAGAGATAGTAGACAACCTCAAGTGCTCTAACATCTGAATTCTGGGTATTCCTGAAGGGGAGGAGAAAGGAAAAGGTATTAAAAACCTACTCAAGGAAATAGTAACAGAAAACTTCCCAGGTGTAGGGTGGATACAAACCTTCAGATCCAGGAAGCTCAAATATCCCCAAACAGTTTCAACCCAAAAAGATCGTCCCCAAGACACATTATAGTTAAAATTGCAAAGCTAAAAACAAAGAGAGAATACTACAAGCAGCAAGAGAAAAGCATCAGGTCACATTTAGGGGAACCCCCATCAAACTAACAGCAGTCTTCTCAACCAAAACCCTACAGGCCAGAAGAAAGTGGAATGATACATTCAAAATACAAAAAGAAAAAAATTGCCAGCCAAGAATTCTGTACCCAGCAAGGCTCTCCTTCAGAAATGATGGAGAAATAGTTTATTTCCCAGACAAACAAAAGTTGTGGGAGCTCACCACCACAGGACCAGCCCTGCAAGAAATTCTCAAGGGAGTCATTCATCTGGATTTGAGTAATGGTGACCACTATCACAAATACACAAGAAAGAGCAAAACCCACAGTTAAAACAAAAATGCCAGCAAGATAGAGAAAGAAGCTAAATCATTCCACCTTAAATTCCCAACTAACATTGAAGAAGATAAATGATCAAAAGATATTTAAACCATCTAAACAAGAAGTGATTAAATGACAGGAATTAAGCAACACTTGTCAATAACTAAGTGTGAATGGAATAAACTCCCCATTCAAAACACACAGACTGAATGACTGGATTAAAAAGCTAGACCCAAGTATATGCTGCTGTCATGAGACCCACCTCACCTGAAGAGACACACATAGACCAAAGGTGAAGGGATAGAAAAAGATACACTATGCAAATGGAAACCAAAAAGAAGCATGAGTAGCTGTTTTTATATCAGACAAAATAGACTTTAAACCAAAATACATTAAAAAACACAAAGAAGGCCATTATATAATGATAAAGGGAACTATCCAGCTAGAAGACATAACAATCATAAACATGTATGCACCCAATACAAGAGCACCCAGATATATTAAGCAAAAACTCTTAGACCTAAAGAAAGAGATAGGACCTAATACATTAATAGTGGGTAATCTGAACACCTCTCTCTCAGTATGGGACAGGTCTTCCAGGCAACAAGTCAACAAAGAGACACAGGATTTAATCCTACTGGAGTTGGCAGATATATACAGAACATTTCACCCAACAGCTAAAGAATACACTTTCTTCTCATCAGCTCATGGTACATTCTTCAGGATAGATCACATATTAGGTCACGAATCTAGTCTCAGCAAATTCAAAACAATTGAAATCATTCCAACTATCTTTTCAGATCACAATGGATGAAAACTGGAAATAAACAATGAGCAAAATGCTGGAATCTATACAAATACATGGAAAATAAATAATAGACTCCTGATTGACCTATGGGTCCAAGAAGAAATTAAACAGGAAATCAAAAAAATTCTAGAAACTAATGAAAATAAAGATACATCATACGAAAACCTGTGGGATACTGCAAAAGCCGTACTAAGAGGCAAATTTATTGCAGTACATGCTCATATCAAAAAAATGGAAAGACTTCAAATAAATGACCTAACACTACATCTCAAAGAACTTGAAAAACAAC